AAGATAGATGGAAGATGGAAGAGGGAATATTGATGGAAGATGGAAGATGGAAGATTGAATATGGAAGATGGAAGATAGTAATATGGAAGATGGACGATGGAAGATGGAAGGTGGAAGATGAAAGATGGAAGATGGTAGATGGAAGATGGATGATGGAATATGGAAGATGAAAGATGGAAGATGGAAGATTGAAGATGGAAGATGGATGATGGATGATGGGCGATGGAATATGGAAGATGAAATATGGAAGATGGACGATGGAAGATGGAAGGTGGAAGATGAAAGATGGAAGATGGTAGATGGTAGATGGAAGACGGAAGATGGAACATGGAAGATGGAAGATGGAAGGTGGTAGATGGAAGATGGAATATGTATGGAAGATGGAAGATGTAAGATGGAAGATGGAAGATGGAAGATTGAAGATGAAAGATGGAAGATGGAAGATGGAAGATGGAAGATGGATGATGGGGGATGGAATATAGAAGATGGAATATGGAAGATGCAAGATTGAAGATGGAAGATGGAAAATAGAAGATGGAAGATGGAAGACGGTAGATGGAAGATGGAAGATGGAAGATGGAAGATGGAAGATGGAAGATGGAAGATGGAAGATAGAAGATAGATGGAAGATGGAAGATGGAAGATGGAAGAAAGATGGAAGGTGGAAGATGGAAGATGGAAGATAGATAGATAGAAGGTGGAAGATGGAAGGTGGAAGATGGAAGATGGAAGATGGAAGATGGAAGATGGAAGATGGAAGATGGAAGATAGAAGATAGATGGAAGATGGAAGATGGAAGATGAAAGATTGAAGATGAAAGATGGAAGATGGAAGATGGAAGATAGAAGATGAAAGATGGAAGATGGAAGATGAAAGATGGAATATGGAAGACAGATGGAAGATGGAAGATCGAAGATGGAAGATAGATGGAAGCTGAAAGATGGAAGATGGAAGATGGAAGTTGGAAGATGGAAGATAGAAGATGGAAGATAGATGGAAGATGGAAGAGGGAATATTGATGGAAGATGGAAGATGGAAGATTGAATATGGAAGATGGAAGATAGTAATATGGAAGATGGACGATGGAAGATGGAAGGTGGAAGATGAAAGATGGAAGATGGTAGATGGAAGATGGAAGATGGAATATGGAAGATGAAAGATGGAAGATGGAAGATTGAAGATGGAAGATGGATGATGGATGATGGGCGATGGAATATGGAAGATGAAATATGGAAGATGGACGATGGAAGATGGAAGGTGGAAGATGAAAGATGGAAGATGGTAGATGGTAGATGGAAGACGGAAGATGGAACATGGAAGATGGAAGATGGAAGGTGGTAGATGGAAGATGGAATATGTATGGAAGATGGAAGATGGAAGATGGAAGATGGAAGATGGAAGATTGAAGATGAAAGATGGAAGATGGAAGATGGAAGATGGAAGATGGATGATGGGGGATGGAATATAGAAGATGGAATATGGAAGATGCAAGATTGAAGATGGAAGATGGAAAATAGAAGATGGAAGATGGAAGACGGTAGATGGAAGATGGAAGATGGAAGATGGAAGATGGAAGATGGAAGATGGAAGATGGAAGATAGAAGATAGATGGAAGATGGAAGATGGAAGATGGAAGATGGAAGATGGAAGAAAGATGGAAGGTGGAAGATGGAAGATGGAAGATAGATAGATAGAAGGTGGAAGATGGAAGGTGGAAGATGGAAGATCGATGGATATGGAAGATAGAAAATAGATGGAGGATGGAAGATGGAAGATGGAAGATGGAAGATGGAAGATAGAAGATAGATGGAAGATGGAAGATGGAAGATGAAAGATTGAAGATGAAAGATGGAAGATGGAAGATAGAAGATGAAAGATGGAAGATGGAAGATGGAAGATGGAATATGGAAGACAGATGGAAGATGGAAGATCGAAGATGGAAGATAGATGGAAGCTGGAAGATGGAAGATGGAAGATGGAAGTTGGAAGATGGAAGATGGAAGAAAGAAGATGGAAGATAGATGGAAGATGGAAAAGGGAATATTGATGGACGATGGAAGATGGAAGATTGAATATGGAAGATGGAAGATAGTAATATGGAAGATGGACGATAGAAGATGGAAGGTGGAAGATGAAAGATGGAAGATGGTAGATGGAAGATGGAAGATGGAATATGGAAGATGAAAGATGGAAGATGGAAGATTGAAGATGGAAGATGGATGATGGATGATGGGCGATGGAATATGGAAGATGAAATATGGAAGATGGACGATGGACGATGGAAGGTGGAAGATGAAATATGGAAGATGGTAGATGGTAGATGGAAGACGGAAGATGGAAGATGGAAGATGGAAGATGGAAGGTGGTAGATGGAAGATGGAATATGTATAGAAGATGCAAGATGGAAGATGGAAGATGGAAGATTGAAGATGAAAGATGGAAGATGGAAGATGGAAGATGGAAGATGGATGATGGGGGATGGAATATAGATGATGGAATATGGAAGATGCAAGATTGAAGATGAAGATGGAAAATAGAAGATGGAAGATGGAAGACGGTAGATGGAAGATGGAAGATGGAAGATGGAAGATGGAAGATGGAAGATGGAAGATGGAAGATGGAAGATAGAAGATAGATGGAAGATGGAAGATGGAAGGAAGATGGAAGGTGGAAGATGGAAGATGGAAGATAGATAGATAGAAGGTGGAAGATGGAAGATCGATGGATATGGAAGATAGAAAATAGATGGAGGATGGAAGATGGAAGATGGAAGATGGAAGATGGAAGATAGAAGATGGAAGATAGATGGAAGATGGAAGATGGAAGATGAAAGATTGAAGATGAAAGATGGAAGATGGAAGATGGAAGATAGAAGATGAAAGATGGAAGATGGAAGATGGAAGATGGAATATGGAAGACAGATGGAAGATGGAAGATCGAAGATGGAAGATAGATGGAAGCTGGAAGATGGAAGATGGAAGTTGGAAGATGGAAGATGGAAGATGGAAGATAGAAGATGGAAGATATATGGAAGATGGAAGAGGGAATATTGATGGAAGATGGAAGATGGAAGATTGAATATGGAAGATGGAAGGTAGTAATATGGAAGATGGACGATGGAAGATGGAAGGTGGAAGATGAAAGATGGAAGATGGTAGATGGAAGACGGAAGATGGAACATGGAAGATGGAAGATGTTAGGTGGTAGATGGAAGATGGAAGATGGAAGATGGAAGATGAAATATGGAAGATGGAAGATGGAAGATGGATGATGGATGATGGGGGATGGAATATGGAAGATGAAATATGGAAGATGGAAGATGGAAGATGGAAGATGGAAGATGGAAGATGAAATATGGAAGATGGAAGATGGAAGATGGATGATGGATGATGGGGGATGGAATATGGAAGATGAAATATGGAAGATGGAAGATGGAAGATGGAAGATAGAAGATAGATGGAAGATGGAAGATGGAAGAAAGATGGAAGGTGGAAGATGGAAGATGGAAGATAAATAGATAGAAGGTGGAAGTTGGAAGGTGGAAGATGGAAGAACGATGGATATGGAAGATAGAAAATAGATGGAGGATGGAAGATGGAAGATGGAAGATAGATGGAAGATGGAAGATGGAAGATGAAAGATTGAAGATGAAATATGGAAGATGGAAGATGGAAGATAGAAGATGGAAGATGGAAGATGGAAGATGGAATATGGAACATGGAAGATGGAACATGGAAGATGGAACATGAAAGATGGAAGATGGAAGACGGAAGATGGAAGATGGAAGAGAGAAGATGGAAGATGTTGTTGTGTGATGTCATCATATGCTATCACATTCTGTCTGCCTCCCATCCCATGTTTCAATTCGCATGTATAGTTTGACTGTGTGTGAAAGAATTTGTGTGGTGTGTGTTCTGGAGTTTGGGAATGTGTTTTGTGTTATTTTGTTTGAGCATGTATTTTGTGATAGATCTTGAGAAGATCTTTCCGACGCAACGAGAATCCCTTCAATCGGAGCAAGAACGCGAAATCTATGAAGATTCAAAGTTTATGAGCTTGCGTTACAATTGCGGCGGTTACAAAGTGAAGTTGTGGGGTGACTCTATATGGAGTTGGGACCTTTGGGGTTGGGAAAATTCATCAGTCTACTGTAACAGCTGCAAATTGGTTGGGAACAACCAAGCTAAGTTGACAAGGGTTGCCAACTTGGTTGGATTGGTTGGGAAGGGACAAATGTCAAAGTTGGGGTTCCTATAGGGAGGGAATCTTTGTGCTTATGGGGTTTCCTTGGTTGGGGACTCTCTTTGGACCTTCCCTCTCATCCCTCTCTTCTATCCCAACCTTTCTCTTGCTCCTCTAATTTTGTGAGATTCTTGAACTTTGATTGAACTTTTGAGATTGAGTTAAGTTCTCCTCCTACAGCTTACCCCCTAATGCGTCGAAAGCCATAGCGTCGCAAATGCTTCATCAATCAACGTGATTCAAATTGGGAACGGTAGCTGAGATTAAGAGCGACAACATATCCAAGTTTTGCGATATTCCAACGGCTAGTTTTTTGTCGACATCGTTTCTTGTGAAGACGACTTTTCTGTCCAGAATTTCGGATTTATATTTTGAGTAATTCTAGCTCCTAAGTTCACCTAGACTCCGTCCTTAATCCTAACAAGTGGTATCAGAGCCATATTGATGACATTGAGAGGAGTCTACAGAAGTGTGAAGACCCTTCTAGACCCACCATGGCCTGTGGGTGTGCCTAAGTGTTGTTCTAAAGGTTGGATGTGTCTTCCGCTGAGGGGAAACTCTGCCGAAATTTCGTGGACGTCGACACTTGTGAAAATATCAAGAGAGCTGAGTGTGGACAGCAAAGGGGAGCTGAAATTCGTCAAGAAGAAGATGAATGAGAGGGGAGGAGATGCTAATGGAAGAGGAGCTGTACCTGAGAAGACAACTGAGCCGCCGCCATCAAAAGTTGAAGCTTTGGATGGCTCCAACTATGAGGAATGGAGCGGGCGGATGAGGAGTGCCTTCAAACGCTACAAGCTACTGAAGATTGCTATTGGGGAGGAGAAGATGCCGGAAGAAGGCGAAGCTCGTGAACGGTGGATTGAGAAAAGCGCGGTGCTTTTCGATCTCATCCTTCAATCGGTCAACAAGGAGATGTTCGAGCACATCAAGGATCTTGTGGAAGCCGATGATTCGGGTCCAAGGGCGTGGAAACTACTACGCGATGTGATTCAGCCCAACACTCTCCCGATGGTGATCGTGCTCGAGAAGGAACTTGCTGCCATCTCCATGCGACCAGGGGACGATGTGAAGCCGGTCCTTGACAAGATCAAGGACACCTATGCAAGGATGGCAGCAGCGGGCAGCAGTGTATCTCAGCTGCAGCAATGCACCAAGATCATCTCGGTGTTGGACAACTCTTGGGACAACCTCATCCCCACCCTCAACTCTCAGCAAGATCAATGGACACCTGAGTGGCTAAGGCAGCAGATTCTGCAGGAGGACTTCCGCAGACGCCATGTAGGAGGTGGTGCCTCCACTAAGACTGCTGAGGGGTATGGAGCTGCAGGGCGCGGCAGAGGAAGAGGGGGTTGGAGTGGCCGAGCTCGTGGGAGGAGCTTTGGCAGAGGTAGAGGCTGAGGTGACTATAATGAGGGGCATGGGAGCTCCAGTGGCAGGGGGAGTACCAGAATGGAGGGCACCTGCTGGTATTGCAAGAAGGTCGGGCATCCTTGGTTCAAGTGCTTCAGCAGGCCGGAGGGATGGGCACCTCCAGGCATGAAGCCGCCCAGTGGTGAACGCGCACAAGGTGGCGCTGTGCAAGGCTCAGGTGCACAAGGTGAAGGTGCACAAGGTTATACGTATCCTAGGATGTTTCTCATGGTTGAGGATGTGCATGGGCATGAGGGTGATGTGGGATCTGTGAGAAAGGTTGTGATGCACCCTCTCACGCACTGGGTGATTGATTCAGGTTGCACCAGTCACATGACCCCACGGGCAGATTTGCTTGATGAGGTAAAACCCCTTGTGAAGATTAAGTATGTGGCAGCAGCGTCAGGTGCTTTGCTCCCTGTTATTGGTGTTGGGAATGCCAAGGTTAAGGGAGCTAATGGGGAGGTTGTGGGGCTTGGGAATGTTATGCTGGTTGAAGGCTTGTCTGCTAACCTTCTCTCTGTGCGGCGACTGCAGAAGAGCAAGGCTGAAGTGACCTTTGGACCAACCAGCTGCCGTGGATGCCTAGAGCTCAGAGGGAATGCGGACACAAGGTGAAGGTGATCCGCAGTGATAATGGTGGGGAGTTCATTGGAGCTGATTTTGAGGGGGAGTTGAAGAGGAAGGGGATCCAACATCAACTGACAGTGCCCTACAACCCGCAGCAGAATGGTGTGGCTGAGAGGTTCAACAGGACCCTGCAGGAGGGGGCACGCACTCTTCTTGGGCGTGCAGGGCTGCCTGATCCGTTTTGGGTGTCTGCACTGAGGCAGGTCGCCCTTGTGAAGAACAGGGTGTTGGCTACAGTTGGGGATAAGGAGTGGATCTCGTATAGCAAGTGGTATGGGAGTGCTCCAGCTGTGAACATGCTGAGGGCATTTGGGTGCATGGTGGTGTTTCATGTGCCCAAGGAGAAAAGGGGGAAGTTGGAGGCTTCTGGAAGATGGGGTGTGCACTTGGGGATTGCAAAGGATCACAAGGGGTGGCTGCTATGGGACTTGACCACCCAGAAGCTGACAGTGTCAAGGGATGTGAAGTTTCTTGAGTCCCTGTACTACAAGGAATGGAAGCAACAGCAACAGAAGCTTCCATCTACACCACTCATTGGTGAGGCAGATGAGGAGCAGCGGCCTTCAAGACAGATGGAGGTTGCAGTGTCTGAGGAGGAGATGTCTGGGGTGACTGAGGAAGGGGGAGCAGCTGAAGTGGAGCAGCAGCAGCAGCAGCATGAGTCTCCACCTCGAGTTCCACACTCGCCTGAGCAACCTAGGAGGGATGTGCGCCCGCCGGTGAGGCTGACCTATGGGGGAAGAGGCAAGCCGAATGTTGTGCAGGCTAGGAGTGTGGTTGAGCAGATTGAGGAAGATGAGATCGCTCAATGCTACTGGGCACCAATCCCTGAGCCCAAGACTCGAGAGGAGGCCTTGAATGGACCAAATGGGGAGAAGTGGAAGGCGAGTGAGAATGAGGAGTTCGGGTCCCTGATTGAGAACGAGACATGGGACTTGTGTGACTTGCCTCCTTAGAAGAAGGCAATCACTTCCAAGATGATCTACAGGCACAAGTATGGACCTGAAGGGGAGCTGACCCGTTACAAGTCTAGGCTTGTGGCACGGGGGTTTCAGTAAACAAAGGGGAAGGACTATGATGAGGTGTTTGCTCCTGTGGGGAAAGGAACAACACTTAGGGTGCTGTTGGCAATAGCTGCACTCCTGGGATGGAAGATATGGCAGATGGACATTGTGACTGCCTTTCTGAATGGGATCATTCCGGAGGAGGTGTACATGAAGCAGCCAGAGGGGCTGGATGATGGGAGCGGCAGGGTCTACAGGCTGAAGAAGGCCATCTATGGCCTTAAGCAGGCGCCTCGTGCATGGTATCACAAGTTGGAGGAGGCGCTGCTGGCTGGGGGTTTCAAGAAGAGTGAGTGTGACCCCAGCCTGTTCCTGCTGCAGGAGAAGGATGAAATCCTCATGCTCTTGGTGTATGTGGATGATATCCTTCTCTTTTCTGCATCAGCTGCTTTGCTGGACAGCGTAGAGCAGATGCTGGAGATGCAGTTCAAGTGTTCCAAGATGGGTGAGGTGAAGTACTGCTTGGGGATGCATGTGGAGAGAGATGTGGAAAAGGGTGTGCTGAGGTTGCACCAGAGGAAGTACTGTGAGGGGCTGGCTGAGAAGTATGGGCTGCAAGATGGGGGAAAGCCAGCAACACCACTACCTTCGGGGTTCACTGTGGAGCCATGTGCTGATGAGGAGGTAGTGGGTGAGAGTGACAGGAAGCTGTTTCATTCGATGGTTGGGTCGCTAAACTATGCTGCAAATCATACACGGCCTGACATTGCATTTGCTACATCACGGCTGGCTAGCGTGGTTTCACGCCCTAGTCATGGGCAACTGGAGGCGGCCAAGAGGTTGGTCCGCTATGTGGGTGCTACGGCATCAGTGGGATTGGAGTACAGTGGAGTGAGGCAGCGGTTGCAGAGAGGTGCTGTAGATGTGAAGAGTGGTGAGATGCTCTTGAGTTGCTATACTGACGCTAGCTTCAACTCAGTGAAAGCGGATGGCACCAGCATTGGGGGTTATGTGTGCTTGCTAGGAGGTGGTGCTGTGAGCTGGCGCAGCAAGAAGCAGAATGAAGTGGGATTGTCCTCATGTGATACTGAGTACATGGCCTTACACCATGGAGCCAAGGAAGTGGTGTGGCTGAGGCGCTTGTTGAAGGAGTTGGGAGTTGGTCAGGAGGAGCCGACAGTTGTGTTCTGTGACAATGAGTCTGCAGTGAAGCTCGCCAAGAATGCTTTTTTGCATGGGCTGACAAAACACATAAGGCCTAAGTGGCATTGGGTGAGGACACTCCTTGATAAGGAGGTGCGGCTGGAGATAGTAAAGACCCATCAGCAGGCAGCGGATATTTTCACTAAGCGACTGGCGGAGGCGGATCATTGGAAGGGCATGAAGCTTGCTGGGATGAGTGTGCATTGAGTATGCATGCTTGAGATGTTGGTATGGTGGATGATGGTTGGCAGACAGAGGGGGAGATTGTTGTGTGATGTCATCATATGCTATCACATTCTGTCTGCCTCCCATCCCTTGTTTCAATTCGCATGTATGGTTTGACAGTGTGTGAAAGAATTTGTGTGGTGTGTGTTCTGGAGTTTGGGAATGTGTTTTGTGTTATTTTGTTTGAGCAGGTATTTTGTAATAGATCTTGAGAAGATCTTTTCAACGCAATGAGAATCCCTTCAATCGGAGCAAGAGCGCGAAAGCTATGAAGATTCAAAGTTCATGAGCTTGCGTTACAATTGCGGCGGTTACAAAGTGAAGTTGTGGGGTGACTCTATATGGAGTTGGGACCTTTGGGGTTGGGAAAATTCGTCTCTACTGTAACAGCTGCAAATTGGTTGGGAACAACCAAGCTAGGTTGGCAAGGGTGGCCAACTTGGTTGGATTGGTTGGGAAGGGACAAATGTCAAAGTTGGGGTTCCTATAGGGAGGGAATCTTTGTGCTTATGGGGTTTCCTTGGTTGGGGACTCTCTTGGGACCTTCCCTCTCATCCCTCTCTTCTATCCCAACCTTTCTCTTGCTCCTCTAATTTTGTGAGATTCTTGAACTTTGATTGAACTTTTGAGATTGAGTTAAGTTCTCCTCCTACAGCTTACCCCCTAATGCGTCGAAAGCCATAGCGTCGCGAATAATTCATCAATCAACGTGATTCAAATTGGGAACGGTATCTGAGATTAAGAGCTAAAACATATCCCAGTTTTGCGATATTCCAACAGCTAGTTTTTCGTCGACGTCGTTTCTTGTGAAGACGACTTTTCTGTCCAGAATTTCGGATATATATTTAGAGTAATTCTAGCTCCTAAGTTCACCTAGACTCCGTCCTTAATCCTAACAGATGGAAGATCGATGGAAGATGGAAGATGGAAGATGGAAAATGGAAGTTGGGAGATGGAAGTTGGAAGATGGAAGACGGAAGATGGAAGATGGAAGACGGAAGATAGATGTTGGAAGATGGAAGATGGAAGCTAGATGGAAGATGGAAAATAGAGAGAAGATGGAACATGGAAGATGGAAGATGGAAGATAGATGGAAGATGGAAGATTGTAGATGGAAGATAGACGGAAGATGGAAGATAGATGGAAAATGGAAGGTGGAAGATAGAAGATAGATAGATGGAAGATGGAAATGGAAGATGAAGGGTGCAAGATGGAACATGGAAGATGGAAGATAGAAATATGGGAGATGGAAGATGGAAGATGGTATATGGAAGATGGAAGATGGAAGATAGATGGAAGCTGGAAGATGGAAGGTGGAAGATGGAATATAGAAAATAGAAGATAGTTAGATGGAAGATGGAAGATAGATGGAAGATGGAACATGGAAGATGGAAGCTAGACGATGGAAGACGGAAGATGGAAGATGGACGATAGAAGATGGAAGATAGATGGAAGATGGAAGTTGGAAGTTGGAAGATGGAAGATGGAAGATAGGTGGAAGATGGAAGATGGAAGATGGAAGATAGAAGATGGAAGATGGAAAATGGAAGATCGATGGAAGATCGAAGATGGAAGATAGATGGAAGACGGAAGATGCAAGTCGGAAGATGGAAGATGGAAGATAGATGGAAGATGGAACATGGAAGATGGAAGATAGAAGATGGAAGACGGAAGATGGAAGATGGAAGATAGAAGATGGAAGATGGAAGATCGATGGAAGATCGAAGATGGAACATAGATGCAAGATGGAAAATGGAAGTTGGAAGATGGAAGACACAAGATGGAAGATGGAAGACGGAAGATAGATGTTGGAAGATGGAAGATGGAAGATAGATGGAAGATGAAAGATGGAAGATATAGAGAAGATGGAAGATAGATGGAAGATGGAAGATGGTAGATGGAAGATAGACGGAAGATGGAAGATAGATGGAAGATGGAAGGTGGAAGATAGAAGATATATAGATGGAAGATGGAAATGGAAGATGAAGGATGCAAGATGGAACATGGAAGATGGAAGATGGAAGATAGAAATATGAGAGATGGAAGATGGAAGATGGTATATGGAAGATGGAAGATGGAAGATGGAAGGTAGAAGATGGAAGATAGAAAATCGAAGATACTTAGATGGAAGATAGATGGAAGATGGAACATGGAAGATGGAAGATAGATGATGGAAGACGGAAGATGGAAGATGGACGATAGAAGATGGAAGATAGATGGAAGATGGAAGTTGGAAGTTGGAAGTTGGAAGATGGAAGATGGAAGATGGAAGATGGTAGATGGAAGATAGACAGAAGATGGAAGAGGGAAGATGGAAGATAGATGGAAGATGGAAGGTGGAAGATAGAAGATAGATAGATGGAAGACGGAAAATGGAAGATGAAGGATGTAAGATGGAACATGGAAGATGGATGATAGAAATATGGGAGACGGAAGATGGAGATGGAATATGGAAGATGGAAGATGGAAGATAGATGGAAGATGGAAGATAGAAGATAGAAGATAGTTAGATTGAAGATGGAAGATGGAAGATGAAAGATGGAAGATGGAAGATAGATGATGGAAGACGGAAGATGGAAGATGGACGATAGAAGATAGTTAGATGGAAGATGGAAGATGGAAGATGGAAGATAGATGGAAGATGGAACATGGAAGATGGAAGATAGAAGATGGAAGACGGAAGATGGAAGATGGAAGATAGAAGAAGGAAGATGGAAGATCGATGGAAGATCGAAGATGGAAGATAGATGGAAGATGGAAAATGGAAGTTGGAAGATGGAAGACGCAAGATGGAAGATGGAAGATGGAAGACGGAAGATGGAAGATGGACGATAGAAGATGGAAGATAGATGGAAGATGGAAGTTGGAAGTTGGAAGATGGAAGATGGAAGATGGAAGATAGATGGAAGATGGAACATGGAAGATGGAAGATAGAAGATGGAAGACGGAAGATGGAAGATGGAAGATAGAAGATGGTTGATGGAAGATGGAAGATCGATGGAAGATCGAAGATGGAAGATAGATGGAAGATGGAAAATGTACGTTTGAAGATGGAAGACGGAAGATGGAAGATGGAAGACGGAAGATAGATGTTGGAAGGTGGAAGATGGAAGATAGATGGAAGATGGAAGATGGGAGAGAGAGAGAAGATGGAAGATGGAAGATTGAAGATGGAAGATAGTTGGAAGATGGAAGATGGTAGATGGAAGATAGATGGAAGATGGAAGAGGGAAGATGGAAGATAGATGGAAGATGGAAGGTGGAAGATAGAAGATAGATAGATGGAAGATGGAAAATGGAAGATGAAGGATGTAAGATGGAACATGGAAGATGGAAGATAGAAATATGGGAGACGGAAGATGGAAGATGGAATATGGAAGATGGAAGATGGAAGAAAGATGGAAGATGGAAGATAGAAGATAGAAGATAGTTAGATTGAAGATGGAAGATGGAAGATGGAAGATGGAAGATAGATGGAAGATGGAACATGGAAGATGGAAGATAGATGATGGAAGACGGAAGATGGAAGATGGACGATAGAAGATGGAAGATGGAAAATGGAAGATCGATGGAAGATCGAAGATGGAAGATAGATGGAAGACGGAAGATGCAAGACGGAAGATGGAAGATGGAAGATAGATGGAAGATGGAACATGGAAGATGGAAGATAGAAGATGGAAGACGGAAGATGGAAGATGGAAGATAGAAGATGGAAGATGGAAGATCGATGGAAGATCGAAGATGGAACATAGATGCAAGATGGAAAATGGAAGTTGGAAGATGGAAGACGCAAGATGGAAGATGGAAGACGGAAGATAGATGTTGGAAGATGGAAGATGGAAGATAGATGGAAGATGAAAGATGGAAGATACAGAGAAGATGGAAGATAGAAGGAAGATGGAAGATGGTAGATGGAAGATAGACGGAAGATGGAAGATAGATGGAAGATGGAAGGTGGAAGATAGAAGATATATAGATGGAAGATGGAAATGGAAGATGAAGGATGCAAGATGGAACATGGAAGATGGAAGATGGAAGATAGAAATATGGGAGATGGAAGATGGAAGATGGTATATGGAAGATGGAAGATGGAAGATGGAAGGTGGAAGATGGAAGATAGAAAATCGAAGATACTTAGATGGAAGATAGATGGAACATGGAACATGGAAGATGGAAGATAGATGATGGAAGACGGAAGATGGAAGATGGACGATAGAAGATGGAAGATAGATGGAAGATGGAAGTTGGAAGTTGGAAGTTGGAAGATGGAAGATGGAAGATGGAAGATGGTAGATGGAAGATAGACAGAAGATGGAAGAGGGAAGATGGAAGATAGATGGAAGATGGAAGGTGGAAGATAGAAGATAGATAGATGGAAGACGGAAAATGGAAGATGAAGGATGTGAGATGGAACATGGAAGATGGAAGATGGATGATAGAAATATGGGAGACGGAAGATGGACGATGGAATATGGAAGATGGAAGATGGAAGATAGATGGAAGATGGAAGATAGAAGATAGAAGATAGTTAGATTGAAGATGGAAGATGGAAGATGAAAGATGGAAGATGGAAGATGGAAGATAGATGATGGAAAACGGAAGATGGAAGATGGACGATAGAAGATAGTTAGATGGAAGATGGAAGATGGAAGATGGAAGATAGATGGAAGATGGAACATGGAAGATGGAAGATAGAAGATGGAAGACGGAAGATGGAAGATGGAAGATAGAAGAAGGAAGATGGAAGATCGATGGAAGATCGAAGATGGAAGATAGATGGAAGATGGAAAATGGAAGTTGGAAGATGGAAGACGCAAGATGGAAGATGGAAGATGGAAGACGGAAGATGGAAGATGGACGATAGAAGATGGAAGATAGATGGAAGATGGAAGTTGGAAGTTGGAAGTTGGAAGATGGAAGATGGAAGATGGAAGATAGATGGAAGATGGAACATGGAAGATGGAAGATAGAAGATGGAAGACGGAAGATGGAAGATGGAAGATAGAAGATGGTTGATGGAAGATGGAAGATC